GCAGAGAGCAAGATACCAGTTCAGAAGGCCTAAGCACACTTACTTGGAAAGATAAGATGCTAATTCCAGCACTGCAACACTTTGTGCAGCTTGTCACCTTGGAAAACCACTTCAATACATACTATTTGCATCCTGGCTAAGACAACAACAGAAAACACAGAGTAAGGACTATCTGAAGATGCACTCACATAATACCTGGAGCAACATGGATGCAAGGTCTGCCCAGGAACACAGATCTGCATCAAAGGTACTGTTTTAAGCAGCTTTATTAAACCTGAAGAGCAGTCACTGAACACTGCAGTACAAGAGCTACCCCAGGCAGAGATATTAATCAGATTTAGTTTTGTAAGTAGAAGTGTTAAACCATATTTTACATTTCTGCACACTGATAAATTTTAATGGGGCCTGAAAGAAGTACAGACACTTCAGTGAACCACTTCTAGGCTCATATATCCTGCTCCTCAAAAGGGTAACATTAAAATGGCTATGCTGGCTTTTTGCTACCCTATCACTGCTACATGGCTGGCAGGCTCAGGCTGAGTTTTGCTTTCAGTTCTGTTTTCAGGTCTCTTTGTAGCTGGTTGACCATCAAACAGCTCTTCCCTGCCCAACCTCAGACACCCTCTGCCCACCTGGCACCCTCAACTGGTATTTCCTGCAACTCCTGTCAGTGGCTCTGCAATACATAAAGTCATCTCAGAGATCTGTAAAATGAAAGACAGAAAACGTAAATAGACCAATCAGCAATGAGAGATGTCAAAATTACCAAAGGCAGGGAAAACATACCTTTAGTAGCGCATGCCAAGTTGAAACAATGCAACTTCAAACAGCATTTCAATATGTGGAATTCAACTTGCCAGAGAGAGCTGCGTGATACATTGAAATGTATCTTGAAGTGATTTAACTAAGCTGCTAATACCAAAACACACCTATGTATATGTAAAATCCTTCCATATGAAGGAAAAAACAAAAAGCCCACAAGCCCGGGTATCAGCTGCCTCATTAGCCACCTCACTTTGAAGATCAATTTTAAGCTTCAGGGTAAATCAAAGCTCACCTTTCCCTAAGTTTTAATTTACACCTGTAAGATGCAGGTAGGCAAGACAGGGGCAGTTTTTTTTCCAGAAGCCACTGATAGTGTATTAAGCAGATGTAGAAGCAGCATGCATGTCTTCACATTAACCTTCATCATTACACAAGCAGGATAGTTATTCTTCTCACCTACTTGTTTCAAGTTCCTGAATTCTAGCACTTATCTACAAAGGACATTCAAATGCAGTGGAGGCAGAAGAATATTAGCATGCAAAAAGCAAAGCAATTTACGTATGTCCTTTTACGTACTGTTCAAACCCAACTTATAACATGCTTATATGTGATACATGTTTCTATTTGGGATGCACAGATCTTGTTTTCATAAGCAAATGATTTTTTAATGCACAAAATACTACGCAAAGAGCTATTAAATGACTTAAATCTCTTTCATGCTTCAGTTAGAATTGATGAGGATAAAAACATTCAAAATTTCAGGTATTCAAAGACTTAAACCATATGAGGAAAACCTGAACTAAACCTCACAAACACACATCTCCCCTAAAGGAAACTTCACTGGAGTTTAAAGGTATCCTGAAGTATCTAATTTAATATTTTATGAGCATTCTCTTTAATAATTATAGTGAGAAATAACACCAGATTCCACTGCAGGCTACGGGGTCCTGCCAGGCTGTATGCCAAACAGATGTAGCTTGAATAATACAAACTGCTAGATAGATGCATGTATTTTGTTAGAGCTCAAAAGTCAAAACATCTGAAGGAATTTTGTTTGTAAAGATCTCTGGTACCAGCAGAAACCAGCCCACGCTGCTATATAGCTAGGAACATTAGAGGATCACCAATATAATTTGAAAGCCCCCCATTCAAATGATCCTTTTCAGGTGATCAGACGCACAGAAATAAAACCTTTTGGAGACAGATGCATCTCCATGTTTCTCCCTGTCAAGCTGAAATCAAAAAGCACTGAACTCAGGGAACTGAACTTAGGGAGAAAGAGAGATTTAACTGTGGGTTGATACACATCTAAATGGAGAGACAATAAAGCAAAAGCTGAAATGAGCTGGCCATGAAATTAGTGTATTGAGTCACCACAAAACTCCAGGTACTTCACATTTAGAGCCTTTTGCCACTTCAAAAGCTACAACGTGAATAAAATGCAGCAAAGTGCAAGTCATCAAATTCAATCAAATGCAAGTCATCAAAAACAAAGGTTTTACCATCACAGAGCTCAAGTTAGGGCCTCTACCTGAGCTCCAAATGGGAATTTGGTCATAAACATCAGTACCATTGCAGAACTAGAAGGAAGTGAATGTCAAAAAGAAAGATGCACCAAAGGGAAAAGCCAATGTTTAGGAACAGCAGTAATGGCACAGGAGGTAGAGCAAGACATCAGCTGGAACAAGGACTGGAGTTGATGGAAATAAGCTCTCAAACTTGAACACATAGTGCCTGCCAAGGTAATGATCTCTTCTTGTGTGTGTGTGGACTTGTATGTCCATGTAAACACTTTTTCTTCTTTCAAAGCTAATGCTGATGCAAACAGATTAAAGAGTAGCCAGAAAGTGCTTCTGCTGACTGATAAAACACTGTCATCAGCTAGATCAGCGAGTCTTAAAATAACAATTCACTTTCTGGAAAACCATAAGCAATTACAAATAAAATGCAGCACCCAGCTTCTCCACACTCCAGTCATCCTACAGGGAACTACCACTGTCCTTCTGGAACAGGTATCTGCTTCAGCACTTTCATACACAGTTCCCAAAAGAAGCTTTTGGCTCATACAATGATAAATCATCCTTATGATTTAAAACACACCAACTCTCCCTGCCTTTGTCATAGAAGGTGCAAAAAAGTCTTGTGTATCCCCAGAGGTTGAACATGAACTACTGAATTTGGTTAATCTCTTCACTGAGAACCCTCTAAACAGTGAGAAGCGCAGCCAAGCCTTTGACAACCCAAACCACGGTTTTATAAACTGGGTAAGTAACAGGCCAAGCTTAATAAATAATCATTCCAAGTTAGGTAACTCCTCAAAGGAAGTACTGGAAGCCCATTAAAATCCCTACATCAGAGAAGAGTAACGCTAAATTTGTTGGGGTTTTGTTTTCTGAATAGTTGTTTATACAAACAGCAAAGAAGTTTATATGAAACTGTGCCCTAGAAACTCAGGGGGAGTTTTGCTATCATCTTCCATGGGGTCAGTCCTTTATCCCTGTCCACAGCAAGCTAGGAGGACTTGTCTTTGTTAAAGGACTGCTGTGCAACCTCAGAGATGCTCCAAGCCAATAGACTACTTAGATGTAAATATCCAAATGGGCACAAGCGGAAGCTGGGAGGCAGATAAGAACCACCAACTAGCTTGGAGTTTTGATTCTTTGCCCAGAACATCACTTCCTAAAAATAAAACCAAAATTCCCTTCTATTCTTTCAGTCAGGGAAGGCAGAAAGGCAGAACAGAAGAGCTATACAAATTTGGCAGGCTTGGCTTTACAGAGCTGCTTTTGTAAAGGATGTGTTCGAAGAGATAAGAGACAAGACACGATGCCTGTTGGACTCAGCCCAAATAACACAGCAGAAAGTGCAAAATACCCTTCAAAAACCCGCACAAGTCATTTTTGTTTGAGAGTAGGAGAGTTTTAGTTGTTCTGGTATCTGAATGCAAGTTCTATAAGTCTGCCAGCACAGCCAGAAGACAAGTCTCAAGGATTTTCATAGGGTTTACTTTGTTTTCCCTTTGGGGATGGGAGAAGAAATAGAAGACAGCATGCTTGAAGGAAAGACATGTAAGAAAACCAAGCTGAGTTCTGCCTTGGGTCTCATCCTTTGCTTATTCCACTTTCTGGAGGGTTTATTATTTTATGTGAGTAGACTACCCGTAATATACAGAAGGTATGCATATAATGAGGAACTTCTTATCAAAATGTAAATATTAGCTTTAAAAAGAAATAAAACCTATAAAACTGTTCCTTCTTGTCATTCTATGGCTTGATACTTGCTCCAGCAGCTGCTGCTACTCCCACCAGCCAGAAATGGAGGGAAACAGAAGTCTGGCTGAGCTTGCACACTGCTAATGGCAATGCACACTCTTCATGTTAGCAATATTACTGCCTTACTCTCCAAGTCAAGCAACAAGGACACTTTAGGACTTCGAAAAAGTTACAAAACCTCTAAGATTAGAGGTGCCCAAAAGCCACTCATTCAGCAGTGATATATGTACTTTGGATTTACTCTTCAGTAACAGAGCCCAGAGATGCAGTGACCATGGGGAATGCCCTACTGCCGCAGGGAAATCTGCACGCAATGCCTTGATCACTGTGCATCCAACATCAGAGAGAAGCAGCCTTTTGCTCCCTTCCAACTCAGCAGCCTGGAAAGATTGCCAGATGCACTCTTGGCCTCCATACTCACCAACGAGCTTAGACTGTTACCCAGAGAAGCCCACAGCCCAGGAAAATTGATCTTGATCAGTAATGTCAGACTTAAGAGGAGGGATGAGCAAAGGCTTTCCTCAAAGATGGCAGCACAGGCTACTATCATCATTATCTGCAGACCCCAAAGGCCATAGCATCAGCTGTCTTCAGCAACCCCACACTTATCTATACCAGATGAATATCATGCCTTTTACATTCACGTAAGGTACAGAAGCGTCAGTGAATACGGATTTCAGAAAATCTTGCTTTCAAAAATATTATTCATCAACACAGAATTCAAATGGTAATTAAGAAGTGTTCACATGATTGATGACACATTTAAATTACAGGTTTCCAGCATATTTTTTTCAGTAAAGACTACTTCCTTTTTCACGTGCTGCTTTTTCCAAAGTGCAAGTCCATCTAACAGATGTCTCGCAGATCTGCTTGTCAATGTAGCAAGTCAGACTTTTTTTATGACAACAAATGGTATAAACCACACAGCATTCTGTTAAACTCAATATTGACACATCTGCTTACCACGTGTATTAGTAGCCATGTCAGCCACTTTCTGAAAGGCATCCAAAAAGGCCGCAGCTGCTACTACTGTAGTCCTGAAATGCATACAGATAACAAAACATTAGCAGTGTCTCATCGTTGCCTATTTAATTATTGCCAAAAACATTTAAGCCTATAAAGAATACCACTGTGAACTTGTAGAGGCCACAAAAAAATATCCTCTTTTCTAGCTGAACTTAGCCTTTTTCCTCCTTCACTTCTTAATCCCTTCCTCGCTTTGTGTTAGCACTATAGACTTGGAGGCAGCCACGCTAATTCCGTGCTGCGAATGGCACAGGACAGGTGCTGTTTCAAAAGAACACATCCCCCTTCTAGCTGATTTCCTCTGATGAACTAATATTAAGCAGTCAAACATGAAAAACAAATCTAACATGCATTATACTGCAGCCATTAGTGTACAAATTGCAGCCACTACTATTTTCCAGGGAGCATGTGTATTTTAAGAATAAGCATTCAGGACTTTCCTTTTGTCTAGGATCCTGGACAAACACTTTCCTGAATTTCTCATCTGAGAAGCATGAAACAGAAATAGCAACTTTTTGGAAATCAGAGTGATTTTGGCAAATGGAAAAGAGGGAAAAGAACAAAGATCTCTACTTCAGGGGTAAAAGAACCCCAAACACCACCACAAACAAACAAAACCCCTTTCCAATCCAGTGCTCCTCCAAGCAGGAGGAGCCTCCTCTCTTCCCAGGAAGTACACCAGCTAGTACACCCACTAGTCCCATCTCCCTCCAGGTTAAGAAACCAAATTCAGACCGCACACAGAAGCTGTTCAAGTGGACAGCAAACGTGAGGCACAGTTTTCCAAACACATTTGTTCTACATAAGCAGGCCCTAAAGCCCTGAACACCTCAGGTCAGTACCAGATTTCTGATGGTTTAGAATCTGCCTGACCCAGTTTAAAGGAAAGTAGGCCAGGGCTCTACAGGTAAAGTGCAACTCTGCCCTCTCCACAGCTGCACATCTTTTCTAACAGTAACTCTGATTTCTTGCCCTGACAGCATCAGTCAACCTCTCCAAGCAAAATCCTGAAGGAGGACCATCAACCTCACTTTGATTCAAAGAGCTCCTTGCTGCCCTCAAAAAACCCCAGGAGAGCTGCAGGAAGCCTGATCCTCAGCCAGGAAAACCACAGGACTGCTTAATTAGGTCAGATTTTATTCAAGCCTCACTCCAAGTATGTTCAAGATACAGACAATGTAACTGGCAGCGTAGTAAATGGCCTAGTGACAGCACAAAAGATTTGAACACAGAAAAAACAGGCTTGAGAGGACCAACTGAACGCATAAGGTCTCTCCACATGCCCAGGAGATCAAAGGGAGGGCAAAACCACCCCCAACAGCTAGCCAGAAATATTGAGCCTTGGAACCAGATAACCTTTCCTGGCATTTTGCTTAACAGTGTTTGTGTTCATCTTCCAAACTTGTGGGTCATGCTGTATTTGTGTACCACGTTGTTAATTATTAATTCTATTGCTAATAACAAAGTTCCATTTCACCAGTAACAAGATCCAGGAAGACCTGGCTCCAGCTCAAATGACATCTGTGCTGCTTTATCAGAGCACACAGAAGTGAAACGGAGGCAAAAGGCTAACATTTGCTAGAAATGAACAGCAAATCCTCAAAGAAGCTTTCAGGCTGCCTGATTGCACGTTCCTGTAGCTAGAAAAAGCACTACATTGATTGAATGCAACACCACAGGACTGGGAAATAAACAAAACTATCCCCCATGTCTTCCCAGAAGGACTGTGTTTAAAAAGCACACAGGGTTAGGAAAGTTCTCCATTTCTCTTCTTTCTCTACTTCCTCTGCTTCTTCCACAATGTGACATGATTGCTGGAAAAAAAAAACACATGCAAGTGTGGTATTTGAGGCATGGTGTGGCAGAACAGCACATTCCAGCTGTTTAGGGCAAATAAGCCTAAACCCCAGCTTCTTCAGGAATGGCTCACAACACTGAACCACAAAGCAGATTGCCAAGAACTGGCTGTACCTGCTACCACTGCTGCGAAAAACAACAATGATGCTCTGGAGAGCACAGCAGAGACTGTGCTTCAGGGAGAGTTGTGAAGAAATGGAGCTTGGGTTCGTATCAGCAGAGACAAATCTTAGAAGTGAATGAATTCTAGAGACAATAGGTCTGAGTGTGCTACTTCTGGCACTTAAGTAGTGCACAATGCCATTTGCAAAGTATACCCCAATAACCTAAGTTTTAATAATCACCAATAAGTGATCCAGTACAGGAAGTCCCTTCATCTTTAAGGCAGCAAAAGTGTTGTTAAGGGCTAAGACACTTTAACATTTTGAGCCCTCTTCTAATATACCGCATTCTATGGTAATAAAAAGGACAACATAAGGTTAACTCCAAATGTGCGTTTGCTAAACAACAATAAAACTGTTGTTCCAATTTCCCCAAAGAAGCCATGAAATTTAACTTATTTTATGTTTATTGTGTACAGCCTGTGGTAGATAATGTATTTTCCTAAACACATGAAAACAGCAGTAGTAGTATGTGAAAAATAACATGCATGGGTGTTGACTATGAAATATGCACAGTTTTACTAGGACATGCTTAGCAAATTATCCTGGCAGAAGCTGCATTTAATCTTACTGTTTGCACATAGAAGGCACTGTGGGGGATCTCGACTGTGTAACACAAAACTTACCGAAGCTGAGACTGCAGTTTCCCAGCTTTATTTATAAAATCTTCCCACACTGGGTAACTTCCCTGCAAGAAAAACAAAACACAATAATGAATACTTAATTCGAGCATTCTGGTTTTGATACTCCAGAACAAATAAAACTGGAAGTAAAGGAAGAACCAAAACTTCAATAAATCCTAATCCATTAACACCAAGATAGGTTTTCCCACCAAGTTCTCTCTCACATCCTTACACACCAGTCCCTAGCAGATGGGATGTCAACTGGTTCTGAACCCAGATGAAACAGTAGGTCTTCTGAGGGAGTTTTATAGATTTTTCCTATTAGAAACTGGGTGAGAAGTGGGATTTCAACTGAAGCAGAGAAAAGAAACACTCGGGATGGATGCAGCAAACACAAGCCTACTAGAAACGGGGTGCTAGGATGTCGCAACAACATGTACAGAGAAGCTCCTAAAACCAAAGGCAGGATCCCTTTGTAGAGAAGAGTTGTTCTCTACAACTGGATTATCTGTGTCATTACCGGGTTCCCAACCTCTTTCTAAAAAAAGTAAATAAAATTATTTTAAAAGCCTTTACAATAAAGGGTTTGAGCTGACCAGAGACCACCTCAGACACTGACCCAAGGTAACTCAGCATCCGGGCACAGAAAATGCACAGTGCCCATAGGGCAAACTTTCCCAACAGGCACCCTGTAACTGCAAAACCTGCTTCCAAAATAGTCTTGAACAGCCTTGGAGTGGACTTTCAGAACTGCAGCTGATAAAGCAGCAAGGCATTGAGTGCGTGCAGGGTTTTTAAGAAGGTTTAATTCTTCTTGACTTCCATGTTTCCTGTAAACATTTTCCCAGTTTTTAAAAACGGTGTTAAAAGCCCAGGTTTTTTTAGTTAGAATAGGGACACCAAGTCTTCTTGCAAGTCTGATCCTTGTTTTCCAAAGTTAAAAAAAGAAGGGGGCAAAGAAAGATTTTTAAGGTGAAAAAGGAGAAAAAAGAATCATCCTTTTTAGTCCAAAAGAAGGTAACTGCTCTGCAGAGCAAGTGTAAATTTTCTGTTAACAGCAAAAACTGTGGTAGAAAGAAACCTCAAAACTTCCCTTTGATTGGAGTCTAAAGACCAAAATAAAATATCCCTGCTTCCTTTAATAAAGGCATAAGACTTGCTGTTACCAGAGCAACTACACAATAAAACCCAGTTAAGGCAAATCCTCAAGGCTAACATTACCCCAGCTCTGACTGGAAGAGGTTGCAAGCAAATGCAGTTGCTTGTAGAAAACTCAATCTCCCCCCATAAGCTGGTCTGCTTTTTGTAAGTAAAATAAAATGCATTGCCTGCACTGCCATGAGAGGCAGTCTGGGGCAAAGAGAGACTCCCCCCAAAAGCTGACAGCTGTATTCCAGCTCTGGGAAGCTGGAACATACCCACTGGGAAGCCTACTGGAACTCCATATACTTTTCAGGCTTGCAGGTTTTTTCTTAAAAGACAAGCAAAAATGAATAAAACTAATAAAACCCCCAATGTAAAACAGGTGTTCATAAAACCTTATTATACCTACACATGACAAAGCCAGTGGGAAATACAGAAGGGGAAAGAGCAAACAGCATTTATCTGGGCAGTGAGACCTAGAATATAAAGTGCTTTGTCCTAGGCAAAAACTGACAGACGTTGGGGGGGGGGGGGGTAGAAAATGAAAGAAACATACCAATTATTTCAAAGAGGAAAAAAAAATGCTATTTCTTTAAACCTATTAGTCTTACTGAAATCCCCTACTCTGAACCTGGTCTCCCAGTGTTTGCCTGCATGCCGTGTATGCATTATGCATGCGTATGCCAGGAGCCCTGAAAGCCCTGACAATTAACAGCAGGGCCTAAGGCTTTACTGGATTCTCGAGCAAAACAAGCCGGCAAGCGGAGGATACCAAAGCAGCCCGATTATGTTTCCATCTTGATGGTGTATTATCCAGCTAAACATGCCTGATGGCATGCAGGAGATTGACACCAGCCTTGCATTTAGCTGCTTCATGGGGAAGCTTAAGACACTCCTATCAAAACACAGCTCAGGAAGAAAACACCTTTTTGTGTGTGTGGCCACAAAGCAAGCAATATTGTAACAGTCACCAAGCATTTCCACAACCATTTATTCTTTGTCTTTAAAAATGTTATTCTCTTCAAGCCAAGCCTACTTAAATAAGCTGTAACAGTGCACCTCAATAGTTTGCTAGATTTGTTGGGTTGAAATCAATGCAATCTCTTCACCTGCATTGGCCAAAAGCACCTCATCTTATTTTGAGCAACAGAGGAATGCAGCATTTTGGTTTCAATGTCACTGAATTAATAAATTGGGAAGTAGGTACTGTTGGGGGGATGAAGGTGGTGGGGGTGTTTTGTTTCTGAGGGGCTTTTTCACTTGTTAAAGGAAGCCTTTCAGCAGTTTTGCAGCAATAATATGAACTCCTGCATCATCTGCTCAGCCCATGGGGTCTTCATCTGTTTTCTGCAACTCTGAATTCGCTGTCATAAACTCGGATGAAAATTAGACGATTTTGTGTTATCTGTGTTCCAGCAGAACTTGCTTTCACTTTTCCCCGCTGAAGCCATGTCCTCAAGCTCACCTCTCTCTTGGTAACACACAGCTGAAGCCTTCACATAAATTCTGTCTTTCAGCACTTCCAAAAAATCTCCCATCACCACATCCCCGCTGAAACCAAAACCCCCTTGATTCCCACCTACAGCAGAAGTAGGCACAACCACCACCACCACTTCACAAGACCTAGGAACTGGGGTTTTATCCCATCTCGAGCACCTAGGAAGCAAGGAAGCCATTTACAGTCATGGCTGTGGGGACAGACCATGGAGATGACACAGGAACCAAGCTAGAGCTGTTAATACTGCAGGGCTCCAGCACTCTATGGAGCAGCTCCTTTTCCAAGGCTTCTTCACATGCCACCTTCACCATAGTAGCCACCACTCCATGTCTGCAATAATAGCTCCTGCTTTGTCAAAGCAGCCGTCAGGAGAAATACTAACGGCGGTGGAAAGTGCACACTAAAGAGCCATCAAACTTCCTCCCTAACTCAACATCTATTACTATCTCAATTTAAGCACAACGGAACAGCAGGTGGAGTTGGACGTCTTTGTCCTAGTAGTGCTTTCGTGACAAAAAGCCACTTTCAAAGAGTAATAACACAGTATTTTTAAATCCCGTCCTTCCCAGAGCTTCCTCTGCTCTTTCTGCAATTTCCAATTCCAACCAGCTGATAAAGCAAATCAATTTTTCCCTTTTCAAATGTCAGGGCTACTCAGGCCCTGGTGTTATCTGTGGAAGCAGGAGGCCTCTGCTGCCTCCGCCACTGCTTGGAGAGGAGCTGCTAGAGGAATCTGGGTCACAAATCCTCCTTTTAGCTCCTCATGGGTTAGAATAGAAATTGGTTATGGTGAGGGTTTGTTTAAATAGGTTCTTGAAATCATTAATGGTTTAATCCGGAGACTATTGTGTGCCCAGTTATTTCTTCACCATCGGATGAAGCAATTTGACATGTCTTCCATGAAATGGGTGTTCCACCATTCCGTACAGCTCTCCTCAGTGCCATGTCCCCTCGAGCTGCTCCGTGGGGCCCACCTGCCCATCAAGGCACATCACCTGTAAGCCATAACATGCCATCATCCTACCTTACTGCTTAATTAATCAGTTTATAGGTGATTAATCGCCTGATCCCAGGGCCCAGCTCCAGGTAACTTACACTGAACACAGGGCAGGGAACCACCCTTCCGCCTCAGGGCTGCGAAACAAGATGGCGCCTCGTGCCTGTCACCAATGCAGCCAGTGCACAATTAAGGACATGAAACAGCTTTCCCTCAGCGACAGGCACCACAACAAGGGTTTCGAGCAGCACCACACTGAGCTAGTGAATGCCAGACACCAACACCCAGCCCCACCAGCATCCAGCCAGGCAGCCTCCTCCATAGCCATAGCTCCTGGGGATGGGTTGTCCCTGCCTGCCACTGGGGACCATCTTCATGCAAGGGAATCCCATCCAACATCCGGACCCACGGCCATGGGTAGATGCTTTCATTTCTGTCCATTTTCCTCATCACCCAAGTCTATTTTAATTAGCAATAAATTTTATCTTCTCACACCAAGTCTGGCTTGCTCATGACAGAGGGGGTGGAACTAGATGGTCTTAGTGTCTTTACCAACCCTAACTGTTCTATGATCTGTGAAACTGGTAAGCAACCTCCTCATGTTTGTCTCAACCCATGAGCTTTCACATCCTATTTTCTCCACGTCCCATTGAGGAGGAGGAAGAGAGAGCAGCTGCCTGAGGTTAGCCCACCACACGAGGCAGTATCAGGCAATGATCCCTAACAGGCAGCTCTGGAAGAACTTGCTTCTCTTTGTTTATCTTGTGAACCAGCACAGCCACCCTACACAAACACAACTCTACAAGAGATTTACTGAAGTTTAGGTTTCCCTTTCAGGCCAGCAGTAGCAGTAAGAAGAGACCCAGATGAGAAACTCAATGATTTCTCAATAAAGGAAGGGTAGACTTTCAGCAAAGAATTGTATTTACTGAAATCTGTTATTGATTACATCTAACAGCAAGAATAAGAACCCAGATTGTTGTATTTATTTAAGATTACAACTTGAAAATCTGCAGCCTTGACAGTTTAAAACTCTTCTGTCATTACTCCTACTAGGAAGTTACAATTCTTTTTACATTAAGAGAAAAGGCACTTACTTCCTTTAATAATTTATTTCCATGCACCCCAACTCCCACAGACAAGACACATCACATCTTCTAAGGAACACTGTCAAGAGTTTTTAAGTGCTTTCATTTATCAGAAAGGTTTTTCAGCCCTTGTGAGTCCAAAGGCAGCAGTTTCTTCCCATCAACAACCCATCTAAACTTCCAGGGCAGAGGGAAGGAGACAGAGCTGCTCTACAGTGAGGCAAATTCAGAATCTACTTCTGGCTGTTCTAGCTAAAGAAGCTGGAGAGAAAGGGCTCAGATGGGCAGTGCCCTAGTTTTATCTCACCAGCTATCAAAGCAATATCTGAATGCCTTCCA